AAAGTAATAGCATGGCACCAATTATATAACTTATAGGTATTCACCAACTTAATATCACCAATCTGAATAATTATATAATATTTATCAATTTCAAATGAGTAAATCAAACCAATGTTAAATAATTCAATCAACAAACAATAAAAATAAAATAAAATAAGCTAACGATTACGTAGAGAGAGAAAAAAATAGAGCACATGCATTGTTGTCTCCTATTTAGGCAAGTTATTTATATTTTTCACTAAAAATTTTCATAAATTTTCATAAAAATATATATATTAAAGTATTAAAATATTAATAATAATAATTAAAAAAATTATATAACATGACAAGGAGGGAGCCATGTGGAAAAAATGTGAATAAGAAGAAACCAGTAGTGTGTGTGCATGCGTGCATGCGAGAATGTGCATGCGCGTGTGTGCGTGCACCCATGCACGTGTGCGCGCACACAAGTGTATATGCGCTTGTTTGTTATGTGTATGAACTTTCTCCCGCAAGTGACCAGTAAGTTATGCTAGGAACAAAATAAAAAAAAAATAAAGAGATAGAAGGAAAAAAAAAAGAATAGAGAAGGAAAAGAAAAGGAGAAAGGTAACATTAAGATAGTATAATTTTCTCTCATTTTTTTTTAGTTATTCTCTTAAAGATATTTTTAATTGTAATGGTGTTGTTACTCTACCAAATTCCTTTCATAAATTTCTTTTTCTACTTAACTTTGTTTTTATAACTAATTTTTTTATTATTTAGGTCTAAATTTTTTATTTCTTTTTAAGGTGATTATTAGACCGATGAATTATCCGGTACCAAAATAATTTTAAGAGAAACAAAGTTTGGGTTCAGACAGTTATACGATAAGGGATGCCTTATCTTGGCTTTAGCTCCACCAATTAGACTATGGGTTTTATAATTCTCATTCAACATGAGAATTAAAATTTTCCTACACACCCTTCGATTTTCGTGCTGACATGGATCTTACATATAATTTTTAACACATGGGTCCCACATGCTTTTTATTTCTACAACATAAGATTTCATTTCTCATTCAACATTAGAATTATAAAACCCTTAGACTATTTCGCATGCAGAAACTCACAGAGTTGGGCCTAAATTATTTTCAGTTAAATATTATACAATTTGTTATTTATCATTATTTTTTATATTATTTCATTTTTATGAAATTACTTGAGATAATGTTATTTTTCGTTATTTACGGCTTGAATGGTTATAGTTAAAAAACATTAATATTACTAAGATTTTTCTCACGTTATTTGCTTTATGCTAACATTTCCAGATAAGTATCACGCCGGATGGACGGTTACTATTTATCTTTATGAAGACCGATCGGAATTTTACATAGTAATTGAAATCAAAGGAGCTGTAGCCATATTCTATCTATAGTGTGTGAAGACTTATACTTATAGGCTAGATTAAAATGAAACTTATGTACTATATAAATTTTATAACTTTAAATAGTTAGAAATATAATATATGTATGGATCTGATATAAAATAATTTGGACGTAAACTTTATTGTAAGATATTTAGAACATAAGATGATATCAGTATAACCAGTTAATATACCTAAATTTATTTTCCTTTATATTCTTCTTCTTCTTATTAAAATATAATTTAAGAAATAATATGATATTATCTATACTAATTAATTTTAGAGGATGTTATAGTAAACATAAAAAGTATTTAATATGGTTAGTTCTGAGAGTCCAGTTAGTGAGCTTCATAACATGTGGAAGTGTTTTTTGTATTTTTATATATAACTAACTTAGGTAGTGTTTGGTTGAAGGTTTATTTTAAGATTGATGGGAAAGTATAGGTGGATATTGGAAAATACCACATTTGGTTCAGGTTTTTTCAAGAAATACCAGACAAATAGGATAGATGGGAAAATGACTTTTGTGTTGATTTTTTGATGAAATTCACTGTTACAGAATACCACTTGAGATGTGGTATTGTGAGATGACTGGGGAAGTGAAAAAACAGGTGCAAAGTTTCTCCCGAACATAGATTTTGCATATTTAAATAAATTTTCCTGGTAATATTTGGGTCAACCAAACAACTTTTTTTACATTTTCCTATCAAACTCACTTTCCAACCATTTTCCTATCAATTACATTTCCCTAGTAAAAAAAAATTTCTCCCGAACCAAACACTACCTTAGAGTCAAAATGATTTTCTAGACTTTAAATTAGATGAGTGTTAAAGTCTTACTATTAAATTGGTATCAATTTAGGGATTTGTACATTCTAAATAGATTATCGAATAAAGTTTTGTACAATTTGAATTTTAGAATAAATTGCTAAACTAGAAGAAAGGAAAATATTAGAAAACAAAGTACAAATGCATCTATGTTAATATTTTTTATTTTTACCGAAAAAAATAAAATATTTCTTATAAAAATAATATATTTATTTCGTAAGTAAAAATGATATATTTTAAGATATACAAATGTGATGAGTCCAATTACTATTGGATTGAATCACACACTGTTGAGCCCGATAAAATTGGAGAAATGAGATTAGATCTCTAATATAATGAACAAGTATTTCAGCAAGATGGTCCCATATCAAATGAGATTCTAGGTTAAGGAGGAGATTCGGGGTAACACATGTTTCTTCTATTATTCTTGATCTCTTCCATTAGGAAAAGACATGATCTGTTATGGGTGTTTGCAGTGATATTTATAACGTGAGGTTCCTTCTTTGAGTTGCCTTCGGATGGCGGTGTTTGCTTCTATTGTTAGGCTGGTGTCAACCTGCGAGGATATGTCGCAGGTAAATCATGTTTTCGGACTACATTTATATGTATTTTTGCGGAATCTTGTAATAAAAGGATCTCGCGGACGCTGATGCTTCTGAAAAGCTAATCTCGCTGAAATATTCTAGTTATACACGTTTCCCTTTATGGCTAAGTAATGATTATTGGGCCTCTTTCTTCAGTTGGGCTTTAACCTCATTCATGTAGGGTCCAGATTAGAATGATAAGCAAGGTCAATTTTTTGTTTCTAATCACTGTATTATTATTATTATTATTATTTTTTATAGCCACTGTATTATCTTTTTTCGTTATTAAGTCAAGATTAAAATTTTTATTTATAAATACTAGATGACGGATTGTTTTCAAAATAATTTTAAAGTAGATTTAAAAATTACATATTTATTATTTTTAAATTAATACAAATTTTATGAAAAATTTATTTTATTTAATAAAAATTAAAGAAACTTAAAATATTGATATTTTGAATAATTTTGAAATAATTAGAAAATTTACATTAATAAAATTAAATATATTAAAAAAATGTTTCTTTTATATATAGTTCTATAATATTGCACCTATATATTTATACACATCTTCCTAAAAAATATGTAAAAATGAGAAATAATTAATTTTGTTATTTTTTTCACAAAATTCTACGGGAAACTTCACTTTTATTAAATAACAATTTAGTACTTATCATGAAATATACTCGAATTAAAAGAATTACTTATCATGAGTTCTGTCTATAGATATTTTGAATAAAAAGTCATATTTCACCAATAGCAACGTGTGGGCAAGGTTTTAAGAGAAATAAAATGCTATCGGATATTTATATTGGGGTTTGCTGATAAGGTTTTCCTTTTGACGAAATTTGAAATAGGCAAGATTACATAAGCAAGTTTTGCAGGTATAAATATTGGAATATTCCTTAGAAACAGTAACGCTGCAATTATTTAAGGAGTTTTCATTATTATTATTATTATTATTGGATTTAAAATTTTTAAATAACTTTGTCTAATGTTCACCAAAGTACTCACAAAAAAGTGTGCTGAGACCATGTGGACCTATGTGAAGTGAAGAGAGAGAAAAAGAAAATATGAACCTCATATACTTTCATGTGTGTATGTGAATAAACATTAGATAAAGTTATTTAAAGTAACTTTAAAAACTTTAAAATCATTATTTATTGTTATTATTTATCAAAATTTTCAAATTAAATGTTAAATGGGACAAATAATTCATTAACGGATTCATTTTTTCTAAAGTTACTCTGGACAACTTTATCTAATATTCACTTAAACTAATTTATTTTAAGGTTATAATAATCTTTATCATTTTAATTTTTAATCTCAAAACAATATCATTTTATTGAACATTAAATAAAATTTTCTAAAATAACATTGAATACTGTTTTTCTCTCATTGATTTGCACAAAATATTAAGGAAAATGCTATCCAGTCAATAATTTTCTTGACAAGACGGGAAGCAAATGTGTTAGTATGATTTACTCTTAGCTATTTTGATGGATAATTCATGTACTCATTAATTGGCGATTTTTAAATTTCATTAGATTCCATTTTCTTTTATTTTTTGTGCATGTGCTCAGTAAAACTAATTAAATATTAATCGTTTGCAAATTGTTCACTTAACATCAAAAGAGACTAATTCTTCCATGTCTCTAAGGGAAAAATTTAATATACTCTAGGCCTACCATTTATTCAGTGATCCCTTTCTATAAATGGAAAACTTTCTTCCATTTTTACCGTTTTCTTTTTGATTTTTTCCCCCTCCGTTCCTTTTTTTTTTTTCATTTTTGGGAAGGGACCACCATGATCCCGTCCCATAAAAAATCTTCTCGTCTCTAGGTAGTCAAGGTGCTCTCATTAACCGTAGTCATCGAGCTAGTGGGTAAGAAGTGAAAATATTTAATATGCTCTAGGATCATCCAATGATTTGATGCTCCCTCTCACAACACTAATTTTTTCTTTTCTTTTTTACCCCTGCTATTTTTCTTCTTTTCCAATTCTACCCTTCCATTTACACTAAGAGACCACCTAAAAAATGATGGTCCCCGACCACAATAAATTCTCTCGTACTCCATACCCTAAACCTCACATCATCAGCGTGTATCTTTTCCTTTAATGCAACCGTACTTTAAATTACTTTCCAGTAACAAAATAATCAGAATCAAATTCTTAAAGACTGCGTTCCAGAATTTAAGATGGAGTGGGTATATTGCTTAGCTGTGCTGTGAGGGCAACTAACCTGTCAACCATAGTAATTTGACCAGGAAAAATTCTTTACTGGTACTCATGGAAGAATAGAACAGAATACAGTTAAAAGCGAGGAGATTCATCCAATTCCCAAGCGGTATTCTCAATGTATAATTCATTACCTAATGACATGGAAGGTTGATGGCTTTTAAATCTATACATACTATAGTTGCTAGTTCCTTAAGACCATCCATCACCATGATCTGACCACCATTTCAATAGCACCAGCAAATGACAACAATTTCTCCATGTTGGCAATGTAGCACAAATTGGGCATATTACTGTGTGAGCAACTTCGAGTCACAAGCCACTATCTTAACCCGTCCAACATTCTCTTGGCTATCTTCATTCTTAAATAAAGCATTTTGTAAGATAAAGGTCCAAACATTGTCACAAAATCTGTATGTATGGAGATGTCCCTGTGATTGAAAAGTGAAAAGAAAAATGAAACAGCTCAGGGGGAAGAAAAGGTGAATAATTACGTTCTTTACTTACAAAGACTTCAGCTTCAGCACGATTCATGAATTACAAATCAATATAATATATGCAGTATCGAACATAACATGAGCAGGTGTTAAATGGAGGTATTGGGTGATTCACTAATCACTACCCTCAACTTGTTTAAGGATAACTGTTACTGAACAAACTAGAAACATGAAATAGCAGCCGACAGTCAAATTAACATCGAATATTCCATGAAACAAGTAACAACAAACATTGCTATTTCAACATGCATTCAAAAGCACAAGAGACATTGCTCTTTCAACATGCATTCAAAAGCATCCGACTATCCGAGCAATATAATAAAAACAGTGGTGCCAAGTCATAAAACTTCATTCTCATAATCTGGTTTGGTCACATAAAATTAAACTATGTTGGAGAAATGAGAAAGATAAGCTAACCGAGAGCCAGTGAACAATGAATATATCAACTAGACACACTTCATGCGATGAGCATTCATTTTATTGTAGTGCATTTCAGGCTTCGTTTCGAACTACTGAAAAATGATCTAATTCAATTTTCTACGAAGATTTCAGTTTGTTAAACCAAGCTATCCATTTTCTGTTCCCTGCACAAGTTAACCAGGAGAACCAAAACAAAACAAACCCCTTCCAATTGGGCATCTTCACAAATAAAAATGCTACATAAACATACAATATCGGTCATCATCAACCTGAGACATGCTATACTTTACAGTCTCAGTATCTAACAATGTCTAGTTTCAACCTACTGCCCACCAACAAAAAAAAAAGGAGAGAGAGAGAGATTATAATGGAAAAGATTGCATAAAACAAAAAGGACACATACCTGACAAATGAATCTCAAATGTTTAAAGCCATATAATTAAAGTATTTATGGATGGATAATCATGCCAACACTCTTTGAATCTCATGTGTCGGATTGATAGTTTTGCAAATAGGAACATCAATGTCTTGTTATTGAGTTCAATAACATGTCATATCAGGCATGATTCAGCCATAAATTATATTTAAAAAATCCACTTTCCATTAAAGCTTGACTAGCGAGGGTAGGGGTGAGGGCACTTCTTGTATGCAACCTTACCCTTTATATTTGCAAAGAGATTATTTTCCGGATTTGAACCCATGACCTTTTAGTTACAAAAGAGCAACTTTACCACTACTCCAACTCGCCCTCAGCCACAAATTATATTTTAAATTAAAATATTTTTTCCACTCCAAAAACCAATACACAATCATGAAAATAACCAAAAAATGTACGAGAGAATATTTAAAAAAAATCTGTCCTTGGAGAGGGTATCCTCCCAGGGAATCTCCATATGTAATAAAATTTTATATTTGATCACCAACTTTGGCAAAATAACAAATATCAAAGAGTAGAATACTAATCGTAAATACAAACTAAAACAAAAGAAAAATGCATGAATAAAATTACTATTGTCCCACTTTATAAAATTACTTGTAACATTGATCATCAAGATCTCCCCAATATTACTCATTTAACGACTCTACATGATTCTTTTATTCCTTGTGTTAATAATATTCATGCATGGTCATAGCCATTCCTTATAGACACGAGTACCTAACTCAAAGCAATGGGGAAAAAGTACATTTTTGAAGGCAACAAGAAAATATTCTAACCAAATCTATTGATTGAAACCATCAAACAAATTAGACTTTTTGACCCATTTACTGAAGATAAGCAAACAAGCATCAAGATCAGTTTATCCCAACAAAGAATCCCTGTATAATCATCCTTACATGCTTGTTCTGTAGTACTCTTTCTCTTCCTTTTTGTATGTCATTTAAGGTAGTTGCAAAAGAATAATGGAAGTCATTAAACATTCTCTAATTTGATTATAAACAAAAAAACTACATTTGAATGACTTACTCTTTAATAATTAATATTACTTAAAATATTATTACTACTGTACTAATCTTATATTTTTAAGAAAATAATAATTAACACTTCATTTATTATCAAGTATGATAAATATAAAGATTCAGATGGAGTAGCCAACAAGCAAGCATATAACAGCAACTAACAAGCAAACATGATCCCACACACCATATTGCATGAACCTACAACTAAAGCTGGAGTGAGCTGAGCCAGCTCATAAACTTGCTTGCAGCTCGATTGTGGATTCATTAACAACTTAATGAGTTGAAAATTTTCACTCGTTTATAAATAAGCCAAGCTTGAGCTTTTACAAGTTTTACTCATTAGCTTAACTCATTGAGCCGAAAATATTCTAATACAATGCTCGATATTTACTTATTAGGTCAAGTAACTCGTCAGCTCTAAGGTGAGCCAAACACAGAGCCAAGGAAATAGGTTCAATTTCTTATTAAGCTGAGCTTCTCAGCTCTAGTCAAATCCAGTCCTAACTACAACCAACAGCAGAGTAAACGCACCTTGTCCATGCCCAAAATTTAATAGCTTATACTTAATCAAAAGAGAAGGGGAAAATAAGTTCGTCACCTTAATGGAGAACTTGCTCTTAACTTGCGTTTCCAGAGCCTCAGTCATAGACTAGAAATTCACATGCCATTGAAATAAAACGTTAAAACAGATCCAAAAACTGAACCACCAAGCCCCAATTCGTAAACATACCTTATCGAACTGGACGAGAACCTGAATAGCATGCTCGGGGCTGAGAGTGCCGTTCTGAACCATCTCATCCAAAGTCTCCGTGAGGCACATTCCGGTCGTCGACCTCCGGTACAGTTCGAACGTCGCCATGCTAGCTTGCGAAACGCGATCTGCGACGATTAACTTATATTACAATGCATGTATTGATAACAGAACCAAAACACGAAGAAAAATTTAGAAAATTGAAAATAAATAGTTATAAAAAAAATTGCGGGAAGGGTATGCGACAAGCAGCGAAGAAAAAAATGGAGATTTAGGGGATTGAAATCCATATTACGAAACTGGTGGCGACGTTTGAGACTTAAGAGTTGCTTTTTTCCCTTTCTTCTTCTGCTGGCGCTTCTCAGTGAACGTTTGGGTTTGGCTCGATAGCGTTTGCGAGCGTAAAAATTTGGGGCTTTTTATACCCTAGAATTTGGCGCTGAGGGTATATATAGTGAACATATGCAATGACCATCGTACCCTCCTTCACGTTTTTGTCACGTGAGATGTATCAGGTGAGGGACAGTGTGCCACTGTTGGCAAAAAAATATATATCAAAATGCTACGCTAATAGTAAATTTTGCCAAAATATCACGTGGTATATTTTGCTACACCGTGTCGCGAAATATTTACACACGTATTTCTCTACACGGTGTAGCAAAATATGTCACGTCAGAACCAAAAATGCCACGTGTCAGACAGGGAGAATTTCGCTACACAGTGTAGCGAAATTCTCTCTGTTTGACACGTGATATTTTTGATTCTGTGCATTCTGACGCGGCATATTTCGCTACACCGTGTAGCGAATTATTTGCACACATATTTCTCTACACAATGTAGCGAAATATGCCACGTAACATTTTGACAAAATTTATGACATTTTAGTGTTTTTTTTTTTTCCAAGTGGCACTTTGACCCGTGTTCCATCAGGTGACCCCGACGACTATAATCAATCATATTTTCTTTTTCGATTGAGCATAACATTAGTATTTACATTTAGTTCTCAACTACTATTTCTTCATCTTCTTCTTTTTCAATTGAGCTTTACATTAGTATTTATATTTAGTTATCTACTTTTAAATTTTTTTTTTTTTTAAGATAATAGTTAAAAAAAAGTTGATAACTAACTAAATAACTCTCATTCAGCAATTTGTTTGATAAATAATAACACAGTTGACGTATGCACGCACGCACTCACAAAAAGGTTTTGCGTTGTTTCTTTGTACTGAATTATAAAATATTTATAAAGAAATAAATGTTAATAATTGATGCATGAAAAAATATTTATTTATTTATTACTATTAGGGTCATTTGTCTCTCGTATATTAACATGACTTCAAAAAGACTGGACAGTCAAACTTAACCATACTTATAAAGAGGGGAATGCATGTGCCGATTGAATGCTAATTTTATCTAAGCATGGATGAAGATAAGCAGCATCTGTTATGGGAAGACCCTCCACGATCCATTTTCTCTAGCTGGCAGATCTTGCTGCGATGGGCAGACCCGGGCCCTGCTGTTCCAATAGTTTGGTTTGTTTCTTCTGTTGTTTTCGGTTGTTTTTGTTTGCTTTGGGCTTCGGCCTCTTTGTTTAAAAAAATAAATAAATAATTTACTTATATTTTGGTACATTTATGTCTGTTGGGATATTCAAGTGTGATGAGTCTCACATTGGTTGGTAATGGGTTAAGTGAATAGTATATAAGTGGAAGGACCCATGAACGCAATGCCTTAAGGTTTTGGGTTGAGATGTGGTGTCGGACTCACTTGGTGTACTTGTAGTAGCTTAGCTCATTGGTGGTGGCTCCCCGCCACGAGCTTCTCCCTGGACCCGCCTGACAGTGGTATCAGAGCCGGATTGGGCTCGAGCTAGCCTAGTGATTGGCTAGGAGGTGGGTCGAGTACTTTGCGCTTCGGGTACTCGGTTGAGGGGGAACATACCAATGGTGGGTTTCACACTTGAGGGAGAGATTGTTGGGATATTCAAGTGTGATGAGTCCCACATTGGTTGGTAATGGGCTAAGTGAAGAGTATATAAGTGGAAGGACCCATGATCCCAATGCCTTAAGGTTTTGGGTTGAGACATGGTGTCGGATCCACTTGGTGTACTTGGAGTAACTTGACCCATTGGTGGTGGTCCCCCGCCACGGGCTTTCCCCTGGACCCGCCTGACAGTGGTATCAGAACCGGGTTGGGCTCGAGCTAGCCTGGTGATTGACTAGAAGGCGGGTCGAGTACTTTGCGCTTGGTGTACTCGGTTGAGGGGGAGCATACCAATGGTGGGTTTCACACTTGAGGGGAGATTGTTGGGATATTCAAGTGTGATGAGTCTCACATTGGTTGGTAATGGGTTAAGTGAATAGTATATAAGTGGAAGGACCCATGAACCCAATGCCTTAAGGTTTTGGGTTGAGATGTGGTGCCGGACTCACTTGGCGTACAGACAACAAATTTAATTCACGGGAAAATATTTTAAATTTTCCTGAACTGATTCAGGGCTAAGATAGTCTGAACAATAACAAAAAACCCTGAAAATAATAATACATGCAAGTCTAAATTGTCTAATGATGTTTGTGTTGTCTATAATTTCCATCGGTTCCGGAGGAGGGGAATGGTGAATTTCAGAAGTAACTTTTGGAAGGTGTACACTGTTTTTAACATTTAATGATTCTTTTGTTTGTTTTTGTACGAATCATTTTAGGATTCATCTTAGTAGACTAGTAAATCTTCGTTTTGTTTCTTGTATTCGCACTCGAAGCATTTGTTAGAGACTCACCTTTTATTTGAGTACATCATATGTAAGACATTATAAAAACAAAAAGGTTTTATTAGTGTTATGTAACATAATGTAAGTGATGTTTTCAATTCTCACATCAAAAGGGAGAGAGAAAGTAGAATGATGAAAGAGAAAGAAAAACATGTGGACAACTCCTCTTTAATGTGTGTAGGAAAGTGAAGTTATATTATGTTAAATGATTAACATAAAACCCAAAAAAAAAAATGAATGTTGATATAAGCGACCTAAATTCACCATCAGACTTTGATACTATGGTAAACCAAGTCTAGAGGGACCTCGTGATGAGAGACTATTATCAATGGGTTAAGGTTGGACCAATCATATCAAGTGAGTTCAAGGTTTATATGTTTATTTATTTATATCCATTTCATTTTATCCATTATTAATCAATGTGTGACTTACCCTCAAATAAGAATCTAACATCAGTATATTCCTTCTCAACCAAATATTTAGGCTTAAAATATTCAACTCGTCTCGAAATACCTAACTAACTCGAGTTCAATCTGACTCTAATATTACTATCAGATAAGTTCATTAATAGCCCGTGATAGAGGAGTATCACTAAGGCTAAAGCACCATTTTAAAGTTTTTGGACAAAAGAATTGCCCGGTTAAAACTGATTGGATAAGTTTTTCCAAAGTAATGCAGTCAAACATGTCACCTATGCTAACGGGACTAGTCCCGTCACTGATACTGACGGAACTCATGCCACATCAGCGCCACGTAGGCAGTCCAATTATCGTAAAGCTTCGGAAGGTCATAACTTGTGACTCGGATATCCAAATCAGATGATTTTTTTTTATTTCACATAACTTTTCAAGATCTACGCAATAACACCTCATTTGATATATTTTATCTCCCACAAACACAGTCTTATGGATAAACACTCTTGTGATTGTGATACAATTGTTACAAATTCAAACTATGTTTGTGGGAGATAAAATATGTCAAATGAGGTATCATTGCGTAGATCTCGAAAAGTTATGTGAAATAAAAAAAATCATCTGATTTGGATATCCGAGTCATAAGTTATGGTCTTCCGAAGATTTACGGTAATTAGATTGCCTACGTGGCGCTGACGTGGCACGAGTCCCGTCAGTATCAGTGACGGGATCCGTCAGCATAGGCGACATGTTTGACTGCATTACTTTGAAAAAACTTATCCAATCAGTTTTAACCAAACAATTCTTTTGTCCAAAAGCTTTAAAATGATGCTTTTCCCCTATCACTAACAAGCTAAGTTAGATCAATCCGATATTATATCTAAACCTAAAACCTTAAAATATTGGATTCAAAAATACATCTACCTATATCCATTTTACTTATCACATTATCAATCAATATTGACACTCATGACACTTAAATATCTCAAGTGACCACCTCACAATCTTGAGCTAAACTGCAAATGCATTTCGGCAAACGTTTAAATTTCTAACGTACTTGGACGTTATTACAAATTGATTCGGTGGTATCACAAGTCACAATGAATGGTTGTCTTGTAAATATTAAAGATGTATATGATGATAATCTAGGAGTTCATACTTTAATAGACATAGCCCGAATAATATAATCAATCACTGAGGGATGACGAGAAAGGTAAATGACGCGGATAGGATGCATAACTGCCACGTAAAGAAAGAAGCCAGATTCCAGAAACGTGTGAGCCTAACTCTTATCTTTGTATGTTTCTTAAAAGGAAATGGGTTCAATTTCCAAGTTTATACTTTATTGTTGTCTCTTTCCAAATTCAGAGAGCAGGACAGAGCAGGTATTTTTTTTTTTTTCCAGCTAATAGTATAGCAAGTAGCAATGGAAGAGATGGGTTCTTCATCTTCAACCCCTTTGTCAAATCACAAGAAGACCTCCTTCATGTCTCACCTGAAGAAGAGTTGCTTATCTTTCGCAGCTTCTGTACAGGAAAGTTTCAGATATGTAAAAGCCTTTTTTGTTGGTCAGGTTCGAAATCCAAAGAGGCCCTTTGTGGCCCTTTCTATTTTTGGTGTAATACTGATTTCAATATATTTATTATTTTTCCTACAAAATTGAAATGGTCCCGTCTGATGGAGGGCTTGTGTTTTTTGTGTTGAAAGCAGGCAAAGACTATAACTGCAAGAAATGAGAAGGAAGCAAGTGAAGCTGAACTTGAGGCTACCAAAATGCAGGTTGAGGCTGCTGATGCTGCTGAAGATATCAAGAACAGACTCAATAAATCCGCGTAAATTTTCGCTTTTCCATCGAAACTACCGTTTTCTACAGAATTTCTTTCTTTTTTCTTCTCCTGATGCATAAGGGAAAGTGTGTAACAAAAATGTCTTTTATTAGCTCCAATATGTCCTTCTGGTTTAATTAAACATGATATATTGTTAATTAACTTTAAGAGTGAATTAATCTGACTTAATTGGATCATTTTATTCTATTTATTTTTTGGTTTGTATCTTTTATATTTGGTAGATAGATTAGTTTTAGTCTCTATTTTTTTTTTTTTCATGATCAAGATAACCAAAACATTTGACCTTCCATTGGCAAGGTGATGAGTTTTATTATAAGGTTCTTCTTGCTGTTACAATTGTCATGGACCTTTCACTGACAAATTCATGTTTGCGCATCAAAGCTCATTAGCAAGTTGACAAAATAAAAAGAAAGCAGCTCATAACTATATTTGTGGACCTAGAAAAAGGGAACAATGCGTAATGCCTGAAATATGTAATCTACTTTAAGTCTAATATCAAAGTTCTTATATTTTACAATACATAACAAGACAGCAAACAAGGTTGGAAATTTGTAACTGTAAAATCTGTGGAATGAGCAGGTTCATATTGAAAATAAGCTAATTTAATATTTTTTGTTAGGGCCTTCTAGACGAATATAGTCATACATTATCCCCTGGAAGGGGCCAGTAGCTATGGTCTGTGTTAGAAATATGGTATTAACGCCTTCCCCTAGCAGAAGACCTGGCATATCAATGCTGTATAGCCAGTAAAGTCCATGAATTCCATGTCTAGCTATTGCATTGTCCTTCCCAATCACCCCCGTTGTAAATAATGGAGGATCTCGTTTTAGATCATTCACTCTAACCTTCAAATTACAAACCAAAAAAACATCATGGGACGAGACATGGAATAGAAAGTGAAAATACTCAACAAATCATGGTTTATCTGGGAAAACTAGTAAAATACTTTGTGAGTTTCCAAACCTGTAATTCGGAGACATTTGCACTTGCAAGCGCCAATCGCAATTTATAGATTCCACTTGCCTCCACCTTATCAAGGTTGAACTTAATTTGCCATGTAGTTCCTTGGTAACTGCCATCATTTTTCTTCCTGTATTTCATGCACTAATTTCATCTTTCATGGATAACATAGGTGCTTTTAAAGAAATCAACTCTATCTTGTCTTAAAATAGTGTACCTGGTGACCTGTGCAAAGAACCAATCTTTTCTGTAGTCACTGACACCAACTGTATAAACCAAATCTTCATTTGGGTATAAATCTGCATATCTTTCCCACAAGCCATACTGCCTAAACCTGTCAATGAAATAGATGGTGGTTTTGTGGGAGCACAAAGCTAAAAAATGTTGAACATTTAAGGCTTAATTTATTATTTATCTAAAGAGGAACTGACTTGTCTGGATGGTCGACATAAAGCTTGTTTATGTACTTTGGATTAGGATCAGGAACGTAGAACTCAGCAGCAGAGCGATCAGGAATGCCTATCTCCCATAATGTTGGACCATCTCTTAGAGGCACATAAATAATGTCACCAACGTTTATTTCACAACCTACATATTGTATCGTTCTTATAGTATATAACAAACATTAACTGAAATATATAACCTTCACAGCTATATATAGAGTATCACTAAATTAGAGCCCATAACTATGGTACATCCTCTAGCCCTATATAATATAAACACAAGTACCTGGGGTTATGGTGAGGACAGCATTGTTCCAATACTCTCCAATGAAACCTGGGACCCAGGCGTAGAGACTGTAATCCCCACTACGTATATTATTGATTGAGAAGTAGCCGTTCTCGTTTGCTCTAGTCCAAAATTGGTATCCCTGAACAAAAAAAGCCTTGCAAGATAAAATTGCTGCCCAATCACTAATTGTATTCATAAATCTAATGTATGTTGAATACTTGGCCAGAACCATAGAAGAATTAAGGGAAATACTCTCATTTTATATGAGATAGTTATCCCCTCTCTTTTTTTCTTTTTTTTCTTCTCTTTAATGGTGGGTCCCACCTCACTTCTGGTACGAGATAACTACTCTCATGTAAAATTAGTATTCCCCAAGAATAAAACACAAATTTTGGGTTGTTTAACGAGCACATTCAACCTTGCATTCTCTTTGCCAGGACCCAGCGTCTCCAGGTGGTGCCAGTCCTACATACGCGCCTTGTGCTAACATGTAATCGTCACTTAAGCACCTGAAAATGGTCATGTTGATAGTCAATTCAATTTAAAAGCTGACGAAGATTATATTATACTTTTATAACAGTTTCAGATGTTGTTGCAAGGAGATATTGGTACTTTGGTGTTACCTGTCTTGAACTAGTAACGTGCCACACACACTGCCTCGTCTGCTAGATTTCTGAAAATCCTCTGAAGCTGGGAAATCATAGGCCCAACTTTGAACCTCCTCGTTCATCTAGAAGCCATTTTTGGTAGTCTTAGTTAGTACTTAAGTGTTAATTATTTGTAATATTTTCTTCCCAAAAGAAACTAAAGTTGTCCTTAACATAATTTTAACCTATAATGAAATTGAAACCTGATTTTTGGCGTCCTCCCAGAGCATCAGTGGGTCCTCATCATCTAACAAAGTGTTAAGATAGACAAAAGTTGGCCCGAAAACTTTTTTCCATGGCTCATTTGGCTGGAGTTTCAGAACTATATCCTCTCCGGCGTAATGAGCACTAAGAAACATCTGGCACAAACAAAAATATTGCTGATCAACATGAAATAAGATATAACTGTAATAGTTTTCCATCATTGAAACTAAGCACTTATCAACAAGTGATATTAAAGGGTAGGAGCAAAGTGAAGTGCATGCTTCACAAACAAAATACTTACTGCAAGGCTGATAGGGCCTACATGGGAGGTAAGGTTCTGTTTAACAGGGCCACCTGATCTGAACTCATTGCTGGGTATGATTACCCAAAACCCCATTGATGGATCAGTTTCGGATTCGCTACTTATCCACCCATGGACCTTAAGATCTTTGTTGTCACTTGAATACTGGTACTTGTCATCCACCTTTAATCAATCAATAACAAATTTTGTTAACCACAAATGATATTTTATAGAGTAAACCCTGTTTTTAATTCCTCCAAAGAAAAAGAATATTTTTATTGTCCAAATAAACTATGGAGATATTCAAGTGTGATAATGACATATTGGTTGCTAATGGGTTAAATGAAGTGAATATAAGTGGACGGACCCATGAACTCAATGCCTTAAGTTTTTGGGTTGAGACGTGGTGTCGAATTCACTTGGTACGATTGGTGTAGCTTAGTCCATTGGTGGTGTTACCCGTCAGGGCTTATCCTTGGACCCTCCATACAATGATATCAGAACCAGATTGGGCTCGAGCTAGCCTGGTGATTGGCTAGGAGGCGGATTGAGTATGAAGAGTCCTACATTTGTTGGTAATGGGCTAAGTGAAGTGTATATAAGTGGATGGACCCTGAAGCCAATGTTAAGGTTTTGGGTTGAGATATTATGTCGAATTCACTTGCTACTGTTGATGTAGCTTAGTCTATTGGTGGTGTTCCCGCCACAGGCTTCTCCCTAGACTCGCATAACATAATCTTACAAAGTTAATTTAATTCTTTAAAAAAATTACCAACAATTTAATATGTTAATTGCAGGAGATGACATTTACTTAGTTTTTTAATTATACAATGAATTAAAGATGCATTATTAAGCCAGTAGAAATGAGCTAGTGGGGAGGAACTTGGGTAATTGTATGAGATTATAAATTAAAAACTCAATGACATCATTGTATTAAAAAAATGACGTTGATTTAATCTCTCTAGAAAATAACATTAATTTAAGGGAAAATTATTTCTCTAGTCACTAATTTACCCTAAATTTAATTCTCAATCCTACTATAAAACAATTTTAATAATTAATATTACTTATCCTGATTAAGAACACTAATGTAAAATTTACCTATCTTTACAATTTGACGTGCAACTCAACAACTATGCAGGTTGTTTCTTTTTCTTATTTTCAAGTGTTGTACATCTAGTTAGTTGGTTATTTATTTATTTATTTTAATTACCTCTCCCTTGAACTCTGGCTCCACGGGGTTGACGAGCAAAACTGCTTCTGGGGGAACTAGTTCTTTTCCTCTTCTGGGTAATCGGTCTTCTGGGAGAGGCATGAATCTTTGTCTATTATCCGCTATGGCCATGTAATGAAACCTACATATAAAACCTCTAAAAATTATCTTTGCAGCAAGCTAATTTACATGTTCTTGTCAAATATCAGTTCAAGGCAACGAAGGGCATTAAACAAGATCCCTCCAATAGAATATTCAAGTCAGAAAATGAATTAAGATAAGGGAATATATTTCATAAGGTCACAAGGCGACGTCCATACTTGTCTTTTCGAAGCTTATAAACAATCCTGATTTGAGGTATGTTGAAAGCAGGCCACTCCTTTAGGTGTTCAAAGATGGCGTAAGAATAGAAGCCTGAGGAATTACGAAGCATCACATACCTGAAGAATTATTGTTGATATGTAATTAATTAATCATAATCATCATTTTGATTTTCAAAATAATTAATGACTGTGGACTAATTCCAGTCTTAAAGCAACATATGTAATGGTACCTTTTGTCGATATTTAGAGGCGATTGTTTTCCCTTCAGAGATAGATCCCACATTCTTGTAAATGAGATTTCAACCTGCTCCTCATTTTCCACTATAACATGAAACCTTGTTCCTACAACTCTGCATGTGTAGCCAATTAATTGCAAACTAGCTCATAATAACATCAATAAGACATCAATTGCAGCCAGAGTTCTAATGTTTTGGTTTATAATAAATAATCTCTGGCAACATTGGCAAAAGAAAAATATGAGAGGCAAGTATCACATACCGCTCAAATGTCCCTGTTGTTCCTGTACTTCCTGCTTCACTCCAAACAACGTCCCAATACCTAGGAATTCAATATTTCAGGGTAACCGTAAGTCGTAGTCACATGATAACTGACGAAAAATGATATAGAACACAAGATCTAAATCTCAATGTGCAGGTACCCTCTATTATCCCTTTCGTTAAGAACTTCAAGCAGATTATCAATGCCATTATATTGTATTCTAGTGACAAATCCACCCGGATTGGATAAATACACTTGCAATATGCCATTGTCCATGACCACCTGCAATTTGAAAGATCAGCGTCTCAAACCTTAATTTGTCAAAACTTCATAATATTATATTGAAATTCTAAATAACATAAAGAGAACAATGTCTTACATGGCTGTCTTCGATATGCAACCGTGCTGCTTGTGAGGACATGTTGAAGGAATTTCGTTAGTTGCTATATCTTGTCTTACAATATATGTTTGCTACAACTTGTTTTCTTCATATGTCATTTAAGTTCTTGAGGTTCAGATTTTCTCTTTCCTCTAGTTTTCTTCAATTAATGGCCAAGCAATTTTTTTTTTTTTATTTCATTGGTTTTCATAGTCAATTCTTTACTCAATGGCCACTGTAGCCGTGCACGTTTTGTGGGGACAAAACAGAAGCTGAAGCATTAGAATATGTAACAATTAGGACTGTTTTGTGACTTGGCTGATATTTACGTCATATGTGATGCCCTCAACAAAAATCACCAAATATATGTTTCATGTCAGAGGATTCTAAGATTGCATTATTGTGATGAATTATGATCGCATTTTTGGCAAATAGATCTCCTTAAAATTTTGATTATAATTTATACAGTCCTTAAATTTCGTCTCTTTAAATTCTCATCTCTTTGCCTTAGTGATGGATGAACTAATAAAAGATATTTACGAGAAAGTGCCATGATGTATGTTTTTTTGCAGATGATATTGTGCTTATTGATGAGACCAAAAAATGGTGTTAATAGAAAACTTCAATTGTGGAGAAGCACTTTGGAGTCTAAAGGATTCGTAGTAAGCCGGAGCAAGACTGAGTATATGAAATGTGATTTTTCTTTGGTAAGAGATGGAGATCAAGACCTCGTGCATCTACTTGGTCAAGAGGTACCCAAAAAAGATGCTTTTAGTCTTTAGATACCTGAGATCAATTTTACAAAAAGGTAGTGAGATTGATGAGGATATAAATCATAGAATCAGAACAGGATGGATGAAATGACAAAGTGCATATGGGTTTTTGTGTCATTGCAAAATACCCCTTAAGCTAAAAGAAAAATTCTATAGAACAACATTAAAACCTGCAATGTTATATGGAGATGAATGTTGGCCACTGGCCAGCACATAGGCAACATGAGCATAAAACGTGAGTAGCAGAAATAAGGATGTTAAAGTGGATGTATGGTTATACGATGATGGATAAGATAAGAAATAAAGATATTCGATGAAAAGTAGGAGTAGTACCTATGACTGAAAAGATGAGGGAACATAGATTGAGATGGTTTGAGCACGTAATGAGACGACCCCTAGATGCTCCCATAAGAACAGAAGTTTGTTACCAAGAGCTTGACACAAAGAGAGATAGAGGTAGACCGAAACTTGCCTGGAGAAAAGTAGTTAAACAAAACTTAATAGAGTGAGATATAGATTGACGGACGATGTATCTTATGATAGAATGGAAAAAAGTTATAAGCAGGGTGGAAGGTTAGATCTGTTGTTGTACCTATGTTTCAGATGGTCCCTTTTTAGTCATTCTCATCTTCATCCCCCTCTTTTTTTTTCTTCTTTTCTTTTATCTTATTTCCCCTTCCCCATTTTTTTTCGTACCAACGACTTCAATTAGCTTGGGTTAATTATTGTAAAGAACTACTTCAACCCAAAACTTTAAGGTATTGAGTGAGGATCTTTTCAAGGGTTTATATTATTCTCTAACACACCCCTCATGCAAGAGCCTTTTAAGCTTGAAGCGTGTATATTATACAGGTTCAATTTTTAATTTATTTTGTGCTTATTTTAATTCCACTAGAAAGTGAGAGTCAGTGAGAATCGAACTCGTCACCTTGTGCTCACTGAAGCTACCATATAAAGAGTCATTTCAACTCAAAATCTTAAAGTATTGAATAAGAATTTTTTTAATGATTTATATTATTCTCTAATACAGCTCTATACGGAAGAGTTTTTAAGTTCTTTGTGTTTAAAGCGTGTATATTATATAGGCTTGGGTGATGTCCTTTGTTAACGTTTATATTATTCTCTACCTGTTAATGAATTTATACAGAGGCGAGATGAAGCTCTCTTCCCCCTTTTTTTTTTCCCGCCTTTTTCTTACTTAGAACATAAAAGCCAGATCGCGAGAAGCAAAAGAACATTACTTGAGAGACAGAGGGCCAATAAGTTAAACTTTGAAAATTTGATTGATTTTCAAGTCAATCTTATTCATTTTGATAAAGTTTGAGAGAGAGAGCGCTTTAAAATTTTAGCAGAGAGAGCAGAAATTCTGTTTCAGAATATCCATATGATGTTAGAAATGTTCTTCAAAATCATGTGCGAGAGATCTTTTACTTTATTTTCGAATCTCGTCGTCACCCACTCACCCACTAGCCACGGCTTTGTTGTTATTTGCTGAAATCTCTGTTTAAAGGAAAAGAAATGAGAGAAAAAAAAAGATGCTGTAGTTAGAGTAGTTGAGTGATTGATTACAGTTTGTTTTCTAAGAAAGAAAAGCTTCGTTAATAAGAGCTTAACGGGTGAGCCAAAATAAGTAGCATCATCAATTTAAACATGGGTTCGCTTTTTCTGCAATTATTGCAGATAAGTTATCTGCAGTAAGTCCAATACGACGTTGTTTTGGGACGAAAATCATGGTGTTTTTGTAATTTGAATTTATTTTAGGGTTATAATAGTCTTTGTACTTATAATTTTTTAAGATTTCAATACCAAAACGACGTCGTTTTGAGAATAAATGCAGATAACTTATCTGCATTAACAGCAGAAACATTTTTTCCTTTAAATATTTAAAAATATTTGTGTAATTAATGCAGACAGTTATCTTTATTTATTTTCAAAATGATGTTATTTTGATATTGAAAGATTAAAAAATATAATTATAAGAACTATAATAATCCTGAAATAAATTAAAATTATAAAAACACAATATTTTTGCTCCAAAATGACATCGTATCGGGCTTACTATAGATAACTTATATGCAATAAATGCAGAAAAAAGTGAATCTACAAAGGAAAAAAGTTTCTAATGTTATTTTAGATAACTTTGTCTAATATTCACCAAAATGACGTCATTTTGGGATTGAAAAATCAAAAAATTAGAATGATAAAGACTATTATAACCTTGAAATAAATTAAAATTACAAACACACATGATTTCCGTCTCAGAACGACATCATCTCAATGAACATTAGATAAAATTATCTCAAGTAACTTTAGAAAAAACACACTCATAGACAAAAATCGATAAGGTGAGAGTAATTGTTCCTTTTAAACAAAACAAAAAAAAAAGTATAAGATAATAATAAAATTAGTAGTTTATTTGAGATGTTTTTACTGGGATGACCGAGGTGGTGAAACGGAAAGTACATTATACAGCGGAAATGGCGGAAATAAGCTTGAATGGTTTTCCGTCACTCCTCAATTGCCGGCTTCAATCTTCATTATATTATGCTTCACGAAAAGTAACAACGAAAAGCGTGAAGATATAATCAAACGAGATCAAGACAGATGGTATATTATCTTTTTCGATTTTTCATTATAATCAAGAAAAGAAAAGAAAAAATAGAAGATGAAAATTCGTATGGTATCAATTAGCGGTAAAACTGGGCCGGGCCGGTCTACAGGGGCCTACGGCTCGGTCTACATCAGGCCAGATCTGACCTAGTATATTTTGTACAATATGTCGGGCTTGGGCTTTAAAAAAGCTTGTTTAATAAAAAGGTCATAGGCCCACTTTCAAAAGGTCGGGCCTATAAGCTCACAGGTCAGCCTATATTGTACTATTTATTTTAAATAAAATAAAATAGAGTAATTATGTCTTGAAGAAAAAACAAAAGATATAAATTTAATCAATTACAATTATTTATAACTTAATTATATTCGATTATATTTTAATAGAAATCTTATTTTATTTCATATATAGGAGGAACCAACATCTCAACATGTGAGATTGTATATATGAATATATTAAAAGATTTTTGGGAGAGTTATACTTACTACAAGCATCATGATTTGTTTGTTGGATTCATGTAGTTATTTTAATTTACATAGTATGGATTTGTTTATTGGATCTGATGAAATATATGTTATTTAGTTTGAGCATTTTGCTTTCGAAAATGACTTAAGTGCCTATTGTATGAGTTTTGTTATGATTCATGATTCTGTTTGGACGTTGAAATTATGATTTTTGGTGTAGCAACTGAATTTGAGTACTTTGTAAAGTTGATTCATGGTTCTGCTTGGAAGTTAAAAATTAACAGGCTAACGGGCCAAGCCAGACCATTTGTTTTTTTATAAACGGGTCAAACTAGGCTAACAGTAGACTCATACTAGGCTTGGGCTAAGCCAAATTGAAATTTTTTGACGTAGGCTTGGGCTTTTCGGGGCAAAGCTTGGCCCAGCCCAGCCCACTTTCACCCCTAATATCAAAGTGGGCTGGGATGGGCCAAACTTTTCCCCGAAAAGCCCAAGCCTACGCTAAAAAATTTTAATTTGGCCTGACCCAAGCCTAGTACGAGTCTAACTGTTAGCCTGGTTTGACCCGTTTATATATAAAAAAAAAAAACAAATGGCCTGGCCTGGCCCGTTAGCCTGTTAATTTTTAACTTCCAAGTAGAACCATGAATCAACTTTATAAAATACTCAAATTCTGTTGCTAATCAAAAAATCATAATTTCAACGTCCAAACAGAATCATGAATCACAACAACACTTGGAGCCTGTTTGGATCCTCTTATTTTTAAGCTAGAAGCTACTTATAAGCTAAAGCTAAAAAAAGAGCTTAAAAAAAGAAGTTAAAAGCTGTTTGAAAATTACATACAAAATTTAGCTTAAAAATTACTTAAAAACACATATTTCAAGAAAATTATCTCTCTCTATCTTTATCACTCTTCATTTTAAAAAAAGCACATAATTCAAGAAAAATAGATAAGAGCTTAAAAAAAAGCTCCTCCTAGGAGCTTTTAGTTTTCAGCTTTTTTCTTCATTATAAAAAAAAGAGCTTTTGTTATACGATCTTTTATTATAAGAGTTTTTCTCAAAACCTGTTTGGCCTAGCTTATGCTTATAAGTAGCTTATAGCTTAAAAATAAGAGGATCCAAACAGGCACATATACAATCTGCATTTAAGTCACTTTCAAAAGAAAAATACTCAAACTAAATAACATATATTTCAAAAAGATCCAACAAACAAATCCATACTACGTAATA